AAAATTAGTCATAAAGCCAGTTTTATTAATGTTGAGTTGGCCATTCCATCGTCAAACTTGTGAAGTTAAGATCTAACCAAAAAATAAAAAAGGAAAAAACAAAGGGAAGTCTCCACAGGCAACAATTACAGCGAAAGCCATCCCCAAACTTCCACCAAGCAAATCACACACACCCACACACACCACTGTGACTCCGACTGCCATCGCCATATCATCTCCGATCTGATCAGGCGGCAATGAGACGGCGTGATTCAGTGTCTGGCGTTGGGCTGGCGTGATTGAGATGCAGCCCGGTGATAATCCACCGACGCTGCCGTTTCCACTCAGTCCGCTACTGCTCTTGAGTGCCGCCGGCGGCGGTGTCAGCGATTTCCGGGAGGGAGGGTTCGAATTGTCCAGGTACTTGTTCCTGGGATCGCTGCTCTTCTCGCGCGAAGGAGGCGGCATGGACCTGTCCAAGGTCGGAGAGAAGATCTTCAGCTCCGTACGCTCTGCCCGCTCACTTGGTCTCCTGCCTTCCACATCCGATCGTCCAGAGGTTTGTAATTTTCTGTCCCTGGGTGAATATCATGGACTGTCGTAATAATATTTAGCTGTGTTGGACGATCACGTGTGCGATTCTGGTGCTAGCGTCTCTGATATTGGTAATGGAGGTGTTTGTGATGAGTATGTGAAGTTTACTTTTTTGTGGTTGCTCCACAAGTTATCATCATGCAGATGTTTTAACTTTTATGTATGCATAGCAGGGTGTGGAATTTTTTATGGAGGTAATGAATTATATGCTTCCTGTAGACTCCCAACCTCGATTCTGTAATTCATGTTATTTTCTGGCTAGTAAGGATATAAAAATTTCATCCTCAAGTTTATCATGTGGAGTCCACTATGATTATGCTTAATTGTTTAGCTTGACATGGCGCCCTGCAGAATAAGAATGTGATAGCATTTAAGTTATCTTGTGTAATTGTATTTCAAGAATCCAGGTTTTCCTTTCACGTGATTTACAATGTGCTGGCTTCTAATTCCTGGATAATTACTTAATAGACTGAGAATGCCAACTTAATTCAACACAAGTATTGAATGTTCAATCACTTCCCCCCTTTCTGAAAGAAATAATTATTGGTCATGACTATCTTGGGTTTTCTAATGTTCAATCACTTGCTTATTGTTTCTCAGGTTCCAGCACGAGCTGCGGCAGCAGCAGCTGTAGCTCGTGTTCTTGCTGGTCTACCACCACATCAGAGGCATAATCTCTCTTCAAGCTCTGAAGAATTGAGTTCAATATATGGGAGCAAACCTCAAGGTCAAACTGTTGATGAGCTTGAGAGGGAATTCTATGAGGAGGTTATTTGTTATTCCTAGTGGCATTATTATTTTTGGTGTCTCAAAGATTTGAACTCAAACGATTGGTATAACAAAAGTTCAAAGAGTTGTAATGATCTCTCTCTCTCTCTCTCTCTCTCTCTCTATACAATGTGTGATTTACAATTTAATAGGCCTTTAGATGCAACGATAGGCTTAACACATTCACTAGGATTATTACATGTGTTCATATTTGAGGAGGCTGCCTCTCTAAAATTTTACTTTGATCATATTATTTTTTATAATGGTGAAATTCTGGAAAAATATTTCCTTTAGCAGGCTGTCATTGGTTAGAAATTGTTTACTATTGATTTGTCATAAGATAAACTTTTCTTCATTACTTTTATTGTTGACCAGCTATTATCATTAAACGTTTCAATAATACAGTTGCTTCCAAATTTTTAGATCACATGTATTCACTAGCTGACATGACCTGGGCATGAAGTTAGTGTATTTCAATGATAAAAACAGTATGGGATTCGATTTCTATAAGATCTTCGATATGTACTTAATCAGCTTGTGTTTATTCGTACATATATTGCAGTTGGTGTAATTTCTGTGGTCTTTCTATGGTATACTTGCATTTCTTGTTCATTGGTTTTCTTCGTTCTTCTTAAACGCAGCACATTTTTTTTTTATTTTTTTTATTTTTTTTATTTTTAATTTTTTTGACAGGATTTTGACCCTGTTAGATATATTTTGGAACAAATTCCCTCTGAAGAAAATGAAGCAGCTTACTTTGAGGAAAAGGTATTATGTTCTCCATGCCCTTTTTGTCTCCTTTGTTTTTCTCTTGTTTTAGGTTGTTTTTATCCATGGTTGGCTTAATTGCAAACAGAAGTATCTGCATGCTACTTTTACTGTTTATTACTTGCTTGTGTTATCCAAATGAATTTTGTATGTGTTTATGTGCTATTATTTTCATCTACTTATGTTGTTTGTTTCTTTTCGTGTACGAAGTACTCGGATGAATATTGAGGCATCCCCTGGCAGATGCATGCATCACATTTTCCAAGCATGTATTCATATCTGTGCCTCTAGTTTATGTTTTTGGTAATACCTCAATGCTCTACTTGTACACTGATGACAGACAATTGGACTATGATCCATTTCCTTGTGCTGAATAAATGATCTTATTTCTATCCCTTGTTGATTTGTTGGTAGATACATAGATTAATCTAAAAATAAGAGTAGTATTTTGTTTTTTAGTTGTTGCTCTGTGGAACTGTCGGGCTGTTTCTATTGGTTTTGAGGAGTTGGGACTTGGGAGTGGTTTCATTCTTTCATAACTATGCTTTTATTTGTTTACCAGTGCATTAAACATCTTATCAATCCGTCAATTTACAGATCAATCTGCATTGCATTCTTTTTTAGGCTGCTCTTCGATTGGCACAACTGGATAAAATTTCTGAGCGCTTGTCACACCATGTTATGGAGCATCATGAAGAAATGGGTAGGTTTACCACCTGAACGCACTTTACTATATTCAGACTATAAGGAAACGCTTTGGAAGTGTCATATCTGCATCTTCCCTGTTTTTCTATCCGTTTTTCTCACTTTGTTCTTGAATAGTTGATTAAGACAATGGGCCTTGAACAGTACATGAAATTAGCTAGCTCTGTCATAACTTATCTATTATAAACTTACTAAGTAATGTTCAAGTAAAATTTGTTTCATTGGACGACTATGAGTGATGAACACCATTTAAAATTTGTTTCATTGGACGACTATGAGTGATGAACACCATTTAATCTACCTAAAATTTGCATCTCAATAATCAATGGTCCTGTACTTTTCTATGCAAGTGGAAGTCCTGTTATGCACTCCTCATTGCTCAAGATTTCTCACAAAAACCCGAACATAATTTGGAAATTGTAGCTGCTTTACCTTAAATGCAAGATTGCTGTTAGAATATGTACTTTGGTTTTAGTCTCCTTTCTCAAATACATACTTTCTATTTACTTTGTTATGGTTTTATGTAGACCATAATACTCTGTCCAAGTTTCCGAGAATTGTATTTTGTAGTTTGTACCCTGGGTGGCAAAAAAATTTCTGGTATAAAGATGCGTTCAACTTCTTCTGGTTTCATGTCATATAACATGCTTTGTCTACCGCAATACCTTGGGAAATTATCATTGCTTCCTACCTGGTGAAGCTTTTCTTATGTTGTACTTTTGTTATGTTTGTCTGCTTCATTCTCCTACATCTAATTTGCAACATCCCTGAAAGATGAGGCAAATTTATTATGTGGAGTAAGCTTGGGTTGGTTAATCTCACTCATTTATATTCATACTCTTAATTCATAAAGTTGATCGGCTTCAGTTATGCGATTTTCACCTCATATTTTCATCCTGTCTGATATTCTGGTGAGGAATAAGTGTACTTTCTATGTGGAACTTCTCCTTCAAATCTTGCATCCTTAGCTCTGGCACTTTGCAAATTAGCTTACATTTTTGTCTAGTGTGGCTATGGAATTGATTGGTCGCGTCTCATTTCTTTTCTTTTCTTTTCTTTTTTCTGCATTTTTGCATTCTCTCTGCCCCATTTGATGCCTAGTGTTTGGCTTATGCTGAATTTCTAACACGCACGATTAGTTGTTCAATAATTGTTTCAGTGAAGGGAATGAATCTGGTAAGAGAATTAGAGAAGGACTTGAAGATTGCAAATGTTATTTGCATGGTAAGCAGGTGATTTTTTTTTTTTTTTTTTTTTTTTGCCAACTGTAAGTGTTGGAAGTACTATTACTTTCAATGCTTGCTGTCTTTTCCTGGTTGTCTTTTATGGAAGATGTACAGGAAGGTATACATGAATTTATGCACGAAATTTTGTTCATATTATCTGAATTATGAAATACATAAATTTATGACCAAATTCAATACTCAATTCTTGAAAAATCGGACTTGACCACTTTATCTGTCAACATACATAATCTGTCAACATAGCGCATGCATATTCTTTATTTGTAATGATCCACCCAGCATACTGTAACAGATACATCTATCTTATCAAACATGTCATATTACATTGATCTGGAAGTGTACCATGCAATGGAGAATTTTTAACAATCAGCAGATGATATATAGATTGCAAAACTGAGATTTCAATGTTTTTAACTGTATGGTTTTATGCAGAATGGTCGAAGGCACCTTACCTCGTCAAGGAACGAGGTCTCTAGGGACCTAATTGTTACAGACAATTCCAAAAGGAAACAATCTCTTCTGGTAATTTACCTGAAATTTAGTACAAATTGTTTTTTCTGCATCTTGATTATAATTTTCTTTACATTAGCTTCTGTTCTATGAAGAGTTTCTTCAAACTCTTGTTTTAGGTTCTATTCATTGTTCCTTTGAAGAATTCCAAATGTGACTGGCATTAGTGAAAATGTTTCCTCTAGAATTTTCAGAAATGCAATGTTTCTGTGGCCACAACTATTATACAGAGCTTGAATGTCTTTGCTGGTATTTTTTAATTTTATTTTTATTAACCTTATTGATTACACTCATGCATCTCATAGTTCATTTTAGTTTCTTTTTGACTATAGCATTAAGGAGTGAGGGGGTTAGTTCAAGGATGATTATTACTAGTTCAAGGATGATTATTACGTATTCCACCAAACTAGAACTAGCTCACGTCTTTTCATGATTTTTTCCAACTTTACTGAAATAGAAAGGCAAGAAATGAAACTCATGATTACGTGTTTGGGTCTTGGCACAACTCAAGCTTTTTGGTCACACGTGGAGTTTTTTTTCCTGTCATTTCCTTTCAAAATTGAATTGACAAGATGGATAACAGCGCTCTTCTCTTCTTTATTTTTTCTTTTTATTTTGTCTTTTCATTTCTCCTTTTTGATTTTAAGCATTTCACGTATTTCATTGTTCATTGTCACAGAGTGATATTTGATTATCTAGATTATTTTGACTCGCAGGACATTTTCCCCATCCTTACCGAGCTATCTCATGCAGTGGACATGCAAGTGGCTCTTGAAACTTGTGTTGATGAAGGGAACTTCTCAAAGGTATGACTCGGTTTTTTCCCATAGATTTAGGAAAGGACCTCTCCTTTTGTTCTTTATCCTTTTTTTTTTTAGAAAAAAATAGTATTTATTTTGGAAAGGACCTCTCCTTTTGTTCTTGTCCTTTGTTTTTTTTAAAAAAAAAAGTATTTATTTTAGGTTTTTATTTGTTATTAAAATATAACTTCTTCCAAGCAGAGTTGTGCTGCCCTATTGCTTGCTGATGTACTCTGAAACATTTTTTCTGTATTTATGCTCCACATATTTTCAGGCTTTCCAAGTCCTTCCTGAATATTTGCAAATTTTGGATAGACTGTCAGATCTTTCCGCAGTGCAAGACTTGAACCGTGGTGTTGAGGTGAATTAAGTGATTATATACATTTTGCTTCCCAAAAATACTAAAAGGATAAATGATATTTGTTACTTAGCTTGGTTCTTGTGCCACTCATCTATTTGTATAAATTTTCTGTTGTTTATTATGTCATACCAAATAATTTTAAACAAGTTTCTTTTCTTTTTCGTCTCCATTGGTTGCATGAACTTGTTCACTGGTTCCAATATGTAAATGTCATCCAGGTTTGGTTGGGAAGGACTCTGCAAAAGTTGGATTCACTTGTATTGGAAGTGTGCCGGGACTTCAAAGAGGATGGTTATCTCACCGTTAGTTCTAAATCTGCTTTTACGCACAATGAATTGTATTTCAGAAAGTCCCACGTGTAGCACTCAATCTACCCATTGCTGCCTATGTGACATCACAGTATTAAATGAAGTCATTTGCATGTGTAGTCGTCTGTTGTTATATCCTTGCAAGAACTCAAACATAATTCTTAGAAACCCTACTTCTCTGTTTAATTTGCGTTAGATCTGCAACCTAATAACTTTACTTTTATCAGATTCCTAAAGAGAGCAGGTTTCCCTTTGTTCCATAGAAGAATCATTGAAGCCATAAAAAAGTCTCAAATCCTGTGCATTTCTACTAAGAAATGTCAGGTTCACGAGCAAACGCGCATGTAATACGCTTTCAATGCTAGATTGAACTTGATTTGTATATTTTCTTCTGCAGGTAGTTGATGCGTATGCACTGATTGGTGATGTTTCTGGTCTAGCTGAAAAGATTCAAAGCTTTTTCATGCAGGAAGTTCTGTCTGAAAGTCACTCTGAATTAAGGATCATATTGCAAGAGGTATGATTTGCATACTTCACTGAAGTATTAGTCATGTCTTGGTATTATACTAGCTAATTGAGCTAATAGTTAGCAACGGAAAGGGCCAAAATATGATAGTGCCACTAATTTTTCTTATCTTCGGCGGAGTCCCTTCCTTTATGTTTCTGGATAAAATAATGTAAATAAATATTATTGGGAAAACGAGAACAAATTTTAAGAGGGGTGGTTGAATATATGACGGAAATGTGCTGATGGCGGTTGATGTCAATATTCATTTAGTAAAATGATAGAGGTGGATTTTTCTAATCAATAAGAAAGTTGAATGGTGTTTGTGTCATAGTTTTATAATGATAATAGTTGGTAACTTTATTTTTTCTTGTTAACTAAATATTCAATGTGATTAATGATTGATGAGTAAAAATTGCATGTCTTGAAGATTTTTACTTTCAGTGTTCGTTAAAATAAGTTAATGCGGGAACATTTTGCATATTCTGTTACGATCATTCACAGCCTAAATCCGTAGGATCATTACCAAACCACATTGGGATTGACAATCACTAGTCTGATGAATGACACTGTTCATGCATGTATCTGGAAGAACCACATAGAAGAAAATAAACTAACTTACCACTTCTAGAACCTTAAATCTTTTACTATTTGTACTTCGGGTATCCGTTCGAACTTAGATTTTGGATTCTGCTTACTTTCTTCATATGACATGTTGACATTAGCATATGCCTGAAGTTAGATCTTGTCTTTATGCAGGATGTTGAAAATCCCAATTTGCACATTAATAGGTAAGTTTAATTCTATCCAGTTTTGCAGAAGTGCTGTTTATGCTTCGGGTTTCCTTTTTCAACCCTTAAAATTATTTACTCATTATTTGCCCATGTATAATAAAAATAGTCAACTGTGACTATATGGTCCGGCTTTAATTCCCCTGTCCAGGCTTACATACAGTGATTTGTGCATTCGGATACCTGAATCCAAGTTCCGGCAGTGTTTGCTTGCAACACTAGGTGTTCTTTTTAAGCTGATGTGTTCGTATTATGCAATAACGAGCTTCCAACTAGAAGAAAAAGTAAGTCTTCACCAACCTATTTTGTATCTCATCCTTTCATATTTTCTCTGCTTGGTTACAATAGTGGAATTAAGGGCTTGATTGTTTATGAAATAATTTGTTCAAATTGAGTTATTTTGGTTAACCATAGTTAATTTTGAAAAAGGTGATAGGGTTAGTTGTAGTGGAATTTTAAAAATGTATTAAAATAATATTTAAAAAAATGGTTAAAATTGATTTGATATAAAAGTAAGAGATAAATGATTGGAAATGATTGAAAATGATAGGTAGTTAAAATTATGTGAGTGGATGAAT